CATCTCATAGCTCTGATCACATAAAACTTTACATTAGTGGTCTATTCAATTTGATATCTAATTGACTTATAATACTATAAAACTAATAATATATTAATGGATATAGAATTTAAGTAACTTATAATATTTAGTTTTCTTATGTGACAATGTAATTAATTGATTTATCTTTTAAAAGCAATCTATATAGTTAGCAATAATAATAAGATATAATTAATAAATATACACTGAAGAGTATACAGTATTACCAGTAAAGAATTTTTATAATTAAAAGTAATTAAGAGTTATAAACAGCAACAACAATATTTATATAATAAATTATTAAAGTGCATATTGTTTTAATGGAGTTATGAACTATATTTTAAAACACTTAAACACAACCAATAATAACCGTAAGATTTTAATACAAGATATGACATGACATTACATGACATTACTTAAAGAAAAAGATCTAAAAATATAAAAGAAAGATCTCATCATTCAATTCCCATTTCACTCCCTTTACTCACAATAAGTGCAACAAAAATATGAAAGGATTTGGATTTATTCTCTTAATTCTAAATCCTTTTCTCTGCCTTTTATTTATAGTTTTTTGCAATTTATTTATTTTATACTTTTATAAAATACGTGATGGATTGCAAACTAATGTTAAGTCTGTCTTAATCATTTTTAATTTTCTAATTTATCTATCTCAAAGATTCTTCCATTTAATGCTCTACATAATTAATTCAACTTTATAGAGTATACTTTTTATTTATGGCTTTACAATTTAGTTTAATTTAAATAACTATATAATAAACAAATGACTAATTATTTTTAAAAGTATGATTAAAAAATAAATTATTTTAACAAAGTAGTAGAAAATATAAGTATTTACTGTACAGTACAGATTTATTTAAAATTTTTCATAATATTAATTAACATGAGAAAACTAGATTAACTGCTAATTATTACTTAATTAATTCTAAAATTTACTACATATCTGAAACATTAAACCTTTCTTTAATAAAGATAATTATAAATAAATAATGTATTAAATTAAAATATTATCATTATTTTATGCAATGTATATATAAAGTATAAATTAAAGTATACTAATTTTTATAAATTAATGATAAAAGTAAACTAATTGCGACATTTATAATTTAATTAATAATAACAAAATATAGTATAAATATTATAAAAATATATAACTTTACCTCATATTGAGATCGACTCCTGTTTTCTGGCGAACTCTCCTATAAATATATTTTATTATTAATATTAGATTTATTGAAAGAATTAAAAAAGATCTTAATATTATCTCTAAATTCTTGCAAATATCTAAAATAGTTGTAATGTTACGGTATAAAAAATACAACTATAAGATTTAAATACAAATATTTATAGCATGTTAAAATAATATCGTACAATAATATAATATTCAATAATTAAATGGACAGATACTGTTTATGCCCTTATGAGGTTTCTATTGAATGAATAAATGGTACATAATCTTTATAAATTATAGAACCAGAATAATACTTTTTATTTCTTTATAAAACGTATCCAGCTAACATATAATTATAAAACTGTCAATATAACATAGATCTTCACTTTAAATTAGGGGGAATATACTACAGTAATCCAAATGCTTATATAAATAATTTATATGCCATTTAATAATATTTGAATAAGTTTAGTGTTATTTCATAAAAATATAATTTCTTGATTATAACGAATCAAATATTTTTAATATTTATTGTACATTATTATAAATGCTATAAAATAGGTCCTATACAGATCATAAATCTAAACCTCATTCTAACTGATATATTGGTCTAATGGCATTACAACCAAAAGCAAACATATCTTACATTTAGACAAAAAACTAATAAATAAGAGACAATACGTAACAAACAAAACAAAGCATTAAACAAACTCAATTCTTAATGGGTTACAAATACATATGACAATTGGTGACCACAATATTCTAGTAATTGACAAACAAAGTGACAAATGTAAAGACTGTATTACTTGATGGCCTGAATCATATGGAGTCCCATTTCGACACAACAGGCCGCGTGATCAGCCCTCGCCTCTGGCAGACCGCACACACAGTAATAACAGTCACCCAATAGTTTGATCCGATGACAGCTATTATCCTATAATACCGTAACAGATAAGATAAGAAATGGTAAACAAAATATTATGTAATCTTAAAACCAAAGCAAACATTTTCCATATCGATAATCAAATTAATTCTGGAGTCACATCTCAATCATTGTTTATTGTTAGGACATTGTAAAGTGAATTTGATTTGAAAATTTTAATATTTCATTGTCTTTCTATTTAACTTTAATCCCATTATATTAATAATAATTGTAACAAAAATTCAAGTTTTAACTTGATTACAGGTAATAGCAAAATCTCATTAAAAAAAACTTTAAAATATTAGACCAATATTCCTTTTGGCACTATATTACTAGTATAATAAAAAAAACTACATTTTACTTTGATTGTAATAAAATTATACTGGTACTTATGTTATAAATATAACTTATAAAATAAAAGTATCTCATAATGAGTGCTTACTGTAGTGGTTGTCAATAATATTAAAAATAATTCAAGTAATCTTCAAAGACTTTCAAAAGATTACATAAAATCTTATATATATATACAATGAGTGCAAAGTTATCTGACAAACAGCTCTAATATGTGAATGACTCGTATGACAGCCGCTTGAATGAAAAAATTGATTGAAACATATTAATCTTAAAATATATTTAGTCTAAAGGTGCCAATTATACTAATTCTTACATTAACTAATATGCTCTTAAAATAATAGGTGTTTTGATATAGATACTGTAGTTAGTTGTATTAATAGTGTATATCCTAATCATTAGAATCTAATGTAACTTGTTTCTGAATTAAATTAGTCAAATAAAAAATTGTGATAAGTCTATGTAAACATCATCCAACTATTTAAATAATCTTGTTACTGTATAAAAGTATTAAATTATTAACAAAAAATGGGTATAGTTAAAAATTAAATTAAAAGACAGTTTTATATTAAAATAACATAAATATAATGTTTCATACGATTTATTAAATGATATTTTTGGAGATGTTTTCCCAATAATTCATTACATCTTTCTCTCTCTCTCCCCATTCTTTCTTTGTTTCAGTCTAACTGACGATATTATCACAACTTTTGTGAGCAATAAAAGGAAAAAATCATTTATTAAAAGAAATAATAATTTTGTGATACATTTCTACTCAAGTGTTCTCTTATTATTTGATGGCTTTTCAAGTCATAAGACATTTAGTGAACAAATAAAATGAGAAAGAAAGCAATGGAAGAGCTCTTAATCATACATTTAATATACTGTAAGAAAAACAATGAGAATCTCTTAGTTTATTACTATTTTTTATTTATTATTGTGAGACACACAATGAATTTTTGACATCACTTTTATTATTTAAAAATCTCAAATTTATGATCAAATTTCAAAACGTTGTATTTATCCTATTATGAAATTCAGTTGAATATCAAACCAATAAATTAAGAGAATATAAAGAATGAATATCTATTTTCTGATATTCAACTATTATTTACATTATGTTGATTACTAGTGAAAATATATCAATAAATTTAAAATTATCAATAATCACTATTTGTTTCAAATATTTGTTTTACTTTTAGTGACTACACTGCAACTAACTTATTAGCAATAATTGAGGTGTGATTTATGATAGATATGAATGCAGTGTGAATGTATGACCTGACCTGGGCCAGTTTGTCGAATCGGGCGAACAAATCGTTCAACACTTGGACCAACTCTTGTGCCGAACAACGGGACGCCAATGCAGTGAATCCTTGGATGTCAGCGAATAGTATACTGTAATCACAAACAATTCACAGAAATATATCAATTTATTAAATATCAATTTTATTTTGCGTTTACATTACTTCACTAAAATAATATAAATTCATTTATAATTGGTATGAAATCCAAAATAATGAAATCAAAAGTGAAATGTTGTGGATTACATAAATGCATACAAACCTGACATCTTTGTAACAATGAATATAAATCTTATGGAATTGTGTGGACAGTATGGAGCGGTGGTCCTCCTCTTTGGCGATGTCTGATATGATTTCCATCGCAACAAATCGGGGCAAAAGTGATAATAATAATCGCTCCTAAAGGTCATCAAATATAAACACATAAATTATATAATTTATTATTTATTAAAACATAGATGTTAGAAAATTTATTTTAAATTTATACAATTTTACTACACTAATATAAGATATATTTAATAATAAAGTAATATTGTATAGAAGCCTAAATATTTTATAATTTACTAAATACCTTACAGAATGAAAACACAATTTCATAATTATAATTATATTAATAAGAAGAATAATAATAATTCAATACAAATATATGCACAATAAGTTGTCATCATTTACTTGAGTCAAATCAGGTAGTCTTGTAAATATAATATATTATATTATACTGATATTACTTTCTATAAAATATTCAATTTAACTAGATATATTTTAATATAGTTAAACAGTTTAATATTAAGAATTCAAAAATTTAATTCAAATCAAATTTATAAAAATTTTGTGGAGTGAAAAAATAGTAAAATATGTAACATAAAGTTTAGTAACATTTTAAAATAAATAAATCAATGCCTCACAGGCAAAAATTCAATTATTATTGAATTATTTGATCTAAAATACTATAAATTTATGATTATTTAACATAATTCAATATATTTCAGATAAGATTATATGTTATTTTTAGAAACATTTTAAAAGTTATATATTTTATAAAACCTAAGCAAAACTTAAATTCAATACTATTTCTGTAAATGTTGTTTAGTTTAATGCCACGGAATGCTACGTAAGGCACGCATTGTCTGTAAATTACAATTGATTGTTAAAACATATAACATTTACTTTATACACATATCGCATGTAATATTTATATCATTGAAAACCTATTTTCAAATTTTAAAACTATAGGTATAATCAATATTTTGTTATATGTCATTTGTTATAAATAATATACATAAGGTTTGCAATACAAAAGTGATTATGATCAATAACTAAAACACTTATATACAGTATAAATCAATTTTAAATTAGAATTAGAAGTTTATAGTTTTAATACACTCTTAAACTAAAACCAAGCACTCAAATATACTACAGTAAATGATTTATCAATTAGCATAAAAATTAATTTAACTTACATTGTATTTACAATGTATTATGCTATAATTTGTGATAATATTATATATTATCTTACGTCTTTCTTGTCAATAAATTTTCAAACACTGTCTAAGATTTAATTGTGTTTTTGACAAAAATGTTAAATTAGGTAATAATAAAACCCAACAAAAAGTACTCAATCTAATTGTTAACTACTTAAATAAAAAATTATTTATTCATTTATTATTTAAATTTTATGTAAATATTAAATAATGAGAACAAATACAAGAAAGGCTTTTAATCTAATTAATTGTGTTGTGCGTGTGTGTGTTGTGTGAGTGAGTGTATTAAAACTATAAACTTCTAATTCAAATTTAAAATTGATTTATACTGTATATAAGTCTTTTAGT